AAGGTGAACACACGGTCACAAGACCAGTCAAAGCAAGAAACAAGGCAAGCTCAGGGTGGATCTCAAGGACACCACACAAATTCCGAGCGCAAGCAAGCGGCCACAAGACCAGTTCAAGAGTTCGCTAGGATATAAATACAAAGCACAACAAGCAGAGCAAGCAACAGTACTACAGCAACCGAGGGCCTACCTCAACAAGCCCCAACTGCACACAGAACCTGTGGTGGTCACCAGGCGCCAGGGCCTTGGTGAAGACGTCTGCAGTGTTGGCCTCTGAGGCCACAAAGTACAGGCGTGCCTGACCGCGTCGCTGCAGCTCTCGCAGGAGGAAGTACCTCACGTCAATATGCTTCACTCTGGTCTCCAGTCGAGGCTCTCGACACAGGAGGATCATGGCCTTGTTGTCAGCGTACAAGGTCGGTGCAGAGCGAGGCCGCTCACCAAGGTCGGCGAGCAAGAAGGTCAACCAGCGAAGCTCCTGTGCCGCCATGGCGCCAGCGTAGATCTCTGCCTCTGCACTGGAAGTAGCCACAGACGACGACCGTGTAGACCTCCACGACACAGCACCAGCTCCCAGACTGAAGCAGTAACCCTGAGTCGAGCGCTGAGTCTCCACATCGTCAGCGTAGGAAGAGTCGCAGTGACCGGTCAACGCCACTGGCTGGGTCCCTCCAAGCACAAGCCCCATGCCTGATGTAGTCGCCAGGTACTTCGCCACCCTCACAGCAGCTGTCCAGTGGACAGGACGGTGTCTCCCAGTCGCAACAAAGCGAGAAAGGATGCTGAGGGGAAAGGCGAGGTCCGGCCGAGTACAAGTCATCAGGTACATGAGGCAGCCCACCAGCTCTGCGTAGGGACCACTGGACTCAAAGGGCTCGTCAGGAAAGGGGCCCGTGAGTCTGTGGTCAACAGCAAGAGGAGTGGGCTGTGTGGTGGAGAACTGGAAGTCGAACCGCCGAAGGACCTGCTGCACCATGTGTGACTGCGTCAGTGTGATGGTGCGAGCGGCTCTGTCCCGGGTGATCTGCAGGCCAAGGTAGCGCTGCAGCTCACCCAGGTCAGTGCACTTGTGTCTCTTCTGCAGTTCAGACTTCACCTGAGCCAGGGCTGCCCTGTCTGCTGTAGCGAAGACCAAGTCGTCGACGTAGACAAGGATAAAGAAAGGAGTGGCACCTGCTCGAACAAACAGCGACGGGTCGGCGGAGGACGGGCTGAACCCAAGGTCACGAAGCGTGGAGCGAAGAGTGTCGTGCCACTCATGGGGCGACTGGCGGAGACCGTAGACTGGTCGCCTCAGGCTCCACTGGGTCCCAGGTGGGAAGGTGCCAGTGAAGCCAGGAGGACGGCGCAGCCAGATCTCCTCGTGCAGTCGGCCCTGGAGGAACGCAGTGGAGAAGTCGAGGGAGTGCAGCTCGTAGTCTCGCTGCGCTGCTATGTGGAGTAACACCCGAAGAGTAGTCATCTTCGGGGTCGGGGCGAAGGTCTGGAAGAAGTCAACTCCCTCACGCTGAATGAAGCCCCTAACCACGTAGCGCGCCTTGAACACCGGCGGTGCTTCAGGCGGCCGCTTCACCTTGAAGAGCCACATGCCATCGACTACGTTCGCCCTGGGAGGGGGAACTGCGTCGACGTAGGTACCTGTGGATCTCCAAGACGCCAACTCTGAGTCCATAGCCGCTTTCCACTGAGAGGCCCACGCCCCTGACACTGCCTCGCGGTAAGTGCGAGGAGTCGGTATGTCAAGGGCGTCGGGGTCTCCCTCAGGGGAGAGCAGCATGGCACACACAGAAGGAGAAGCGGCTGCCCAGTACTCCAGCTCAGACTCTCTGTCCTCTAGGACGTCACAGCTAAGGGCAAACTCACCCACGACGGACAGAGGACGGTAGGGAGGAGCTGGCACCACACGGGTGGCGTAGTCAAGGCGGCTGGCGGCAGCGAACTCAGCAACAGCGGCAGTGAGAGCCGAGACAGACGACGGAGGGAAACGAGAGTCGGTGACAAGAGTGGCGAGGACACGGGAGGCAACGGGACGAACATCACGGTAGTAGTCAGAGATAGGAGTGGGGAGGGCGGGGAGAGAGGACGGAGGAGGAGACGGGAGAACAGACACAGGAGAAGGAGAACGATGACGAGACGTACAAAGGAGGGCAGTGTGGAGGTCAGTAACAGGGGACGAGTGACGAGCACGCGGAGGACAACGAGTGATCAAGTCGTGACGGACTGCAGGAGGAGGGGACTGAGGAGGAGGAGAAGACCAGACCGCCGGACGGTCGTCAGGAGAAGGCAACGTAGGACCAAACATAGGAGGAGACTGGGAGCGGACAGGAGGAGAGGAGGAAAGGCCAAGGGCCCGCAGGCCACTCACAGGTGGGAACAACTGCCGCTCCAGAGGAAGCTGCGGTGGCGGCTGCGGCTGCTGCTGCTGCGGCTGCTGCGGCTGCTGCGGCGGCATGAGGAGGCAGAGGAGGGGGTGGAGTAGCGGGCAACAATAGCATCCCAAACCCCCTTGGCTGTCTCCACCTGGTCAAAGTGGGCGGCCTCAGTCGGGGGGAGAAGCTCCGACAGTGTGAGAGCGGCGGCAGCGTCACGCGAGAGCCACACGTCCCTGGCCAGGACCCGGCGGTCGTACTCCGCCTGGGCCGTAGGGGTCGGCTCCGGGGTGGTCGGCAGGGCGGCGGGGGACGGAGGGGCCGGTAGGACACCAGACGCGTGAGCCCACAGAGTGGCGCCGTCGTGTCGCTGGCTGGTGAGGAAGCGCGTGGTCTGGCGCTGCCCGGTGCCGAACTCTATCGGGCGTCCCTCCGCGTCGAAACGGAGGCGACGCGACTCCATAACGGATGTCATGCTAGAGGCGGCTGGAGCACGGCGGAGGCTGAGCTAAGAACGAGGAGGAAACCTACGGAGCGCCAGGAGGGAGAACGGCGGAGTGAGGGGCTAGGAGCACTGAGTGACCTAGGCTAGGCGTGAAACGGAAGATCTCCAGCTACAACGGCTAGGGGCGCGATACTAGCGGCTAAACGGCTCGAACCTAGGCGGGTGGCGAGAGAGAGCGGCTGCCAGCCGCTGGGTGATAGACCAGTGTCCGTAGAGCTGGGGAGGGCCCCGCGCACAAGGCGGTGGCGGGGCTAGGGCGTGTGCCAAGGGTGGGTAACAGGAAGAGAGGGGCGGGGGGGGAGAGTTTGCGACGGTGGAAATGGGCGGGGAGGGCGGTTTTGACGGTGGGAATGGGCGGGGAGGGCGGATTTGACGGTGGGAATGGGCGGGAGGGCGCTTTTGACGGTGGGAACGGGCGGGAGGCCGGTTTTGACGGTGGGAATGGGCGGGAGGGCGGTTTTGACGGTGGGAATGGGCGGGGAGGGCGGTTTGACGGTGGGAATGGGCAGGGAGGGCTGTGTTGACGGTGGGAAAGGTGGGGGCAGGGGCTGGGGCGTGGGCGACGGGCTAGGGGCTGGGCGCACGGGCGTCGCGACGGGCCGGGGCAGAGCCTCCGGGCTACGCGCTGGCTAGGGGCAGGGCGCAGGGGTGTCGCGACGAGCTGGGGCAGCGCCTACGGGCTACGCGCTGGCTAGGAACGGTCCTGCTCTGATACCATCTCAAGAGTGGTTAGCAACGGAATGGTATGAAACTAGAGAAACAAGACATACAAATGAAGTTGTACCCCTTAGAGTGCTACTCACTGTTGCCTAAGAGACTATAACAACATTTGACAGGTGATACTTCAATAATCACTATTCGTAACACCCTGTACAGAGAAAAATATATTCGCCAGAAATTTACACTGGTCTATCAGAGTGGCTAAAATCAAAACCTCCGCAAATCGGAGAAAACTTATCTTCCAAAAAAGTTACCCAGAAACGTCAGAGTGACCCCCCAAAAACCACTCTGATTTTCAGAGAAACAGAGTAATTCACTCTGATAAAAAAACCCCTGCCTTCCTAGCTCTGATACCATGTTATAATGGTCTAAGCTACTTGTGGAAGCTATAGTAGTTTTAGAACCTCCTCCTAAAGCCTAGGAATCTTATGAGCCAACTTGGGCATGAACTATGCTAGAACCAAAGGGGTTTCCAAGAAGTGAAGTTCCAACAAGAGAGATCCCTAACCTATAAGGTTTGGGAAGTGGTCCACTCTAAAGAGTGTACACCACAAGTTCTCACAACCCAACCAATATATTCTACACTACTATAGTGTAGATCTAACACTACATATGTTTATTAGAGCAACCCGAATCAACAATAATTCCAACAAATAGAACAAGCGAGAATGACTAAATTGAACAGCAAGGTGGTACAAATAGCTAACCCTAAGCGAGGCTAACGGATGCAACACCAGCAATGTAACACATACAATCAGACACAGAGGCACTCTGCCCTGAATGTACCTTATAATCCTATTAATGAAGGACAAACAAAGAGAGAGGGAGAGAGAGGGGGCGAGAGAGAGGGAGAGAAATTTCCACAACAAGCTAAACAATCTATTTCTCAAAGGCTTAAACACTATGGCTTCTCATGGCCACCAATACTGCACCTACAGCTCCTGCACTGAACTGGCCTCAGACTCCACCCTCTTCAAGTTTCTCTCTTCAAAGGCTGAACCACTTGACTTCAACAGAAGCCTAGACTTGACACCAGTAAGACATGTGATACCCCCGAAGTTCACTGTTGAGGGGGAGAGAAACACAAGTGGGAGGTTGAGTTCGCATGCTGTACACGTGCATATGCGTGCACAATTGATTGCCACGATTGGCAGCTTTGTGTCTAGGTCAGGAGAGGCGGCACAGGGAGGGAGTGGGACTAGCAGGTAAATGTCAAACGAGAGCAAACATCATTGTGTTCGCACACATGTGATGATGAATGAAGGGGGTGGATGAAGGGAGCGCGGATAGGAAGAGAGGTGGAGGGAGCGGGAGGGAGAGGGAGAGAGGGGAGATATTTGAATAAAGTGAGTGTGAGGGGGATGACATACTGTTGACAAGTGCAATGCGGGGTGTCTGGGACTCACGGAGTGCCGAAGGCAGCGACGCTGCCTTGAAGAGGCGGGCTGTACCACCGGGATTTCTCCCAGCGCAGTTAGCCATTTCGTACATCCAAACTTGGCGGCAAGCTATAGCCCCTCCAGGAGCCATTTCCACAAAATATTGCGACTGAAAGTTGGTGGACATTGTGGGAGGGAGGCTGGTGCATGCGCCAAGAAGGAGGCGAAGGATGTAGGGAGTGGAGCCATAGTTGGTCTGGTTGTAGAAAGCGATGCTGGTGAAAGACAAGGTGTCGATGCCGGTGCCTGAAATACGAATCAAGAGCGAGTGAGAATAAGAGACAGGAATGGGAGAAGGAAGAAATGACAGGTGGGTGGAGATATCTGGTAATTCACACAAAATTTTGGACAAAACAAGACCGGGGGTGCCAAAAGAGGCAGAGAGCGTACATGAGATACAAGCATTAGTGGTGCGGCTATGAGAAGCAATATTTAAGGGATCAGTTGTCAAACCTAGGACGCAGCCAGCAGTGGTCAAGCTGTATCCAGAAGGGCAGGTGCAGTACGGAGCATTGGTGTACGGAACCAAGTTGTTGCATGTGCAGTTCGAGCACGTGCCTGAACCTGGAGAGAGAAAAGGAAAGGGGAATAAGGAAAATCCAGACATTCCAGCGGATGTTAATGAAGATGTGGATCTGGATGGTGAGCTGCTGAGACGTGCAAGCACGTCAGCAGCAGCAGCAGCAGCGAAGGAGGTATCTCTCAGCTTCTATGAATATCTCAGCACTAATGGACGCACCAATGCATAAGCCTGTTGAAGTCGTCTGGTATGCATCGTTGCACAAACATGTTGGCGCACCACTGGAGGTCCTACTACAAGAAGTATATCTCGGACAAGTCCTGAGAGAGCACGTGTCTGAGAGGAGGGTGGGATGAAAAATGGAATGCGTGAGAAAGGGATAGGGCTGGAGAGAGTGCGAGCGGGAGAAAGGGAGAGATAGGCAAGGGGGGAAGAAGGGAGTGAAGGAGGGAGGGAGGAAGAGAGAGAGAGAGAGAGAGAGAGAGAGAGAGAGAGAGAGAGAGAGAGAGAGAGAGAGAGAGAACTGGGAATGCCCTGCACACCAAGGCCAGGGCTGGGATTGAGGCAGCGCACCCCCAAATGGCAGCAGACCCATGGCCGCTGCACCTAGGGGACATCCTCCACACGCTGGAGGGGTAGAGGGGCACTAAGGGGGGGGGAGGAGAGGGTCAGAGGGAGGGGTTAAATGGGTCGGAAGGTCTAAGGGAACCACGAGTCACACTGCATGTCTGTACCCCCTGCTGAATTAATACAAAGGACCATTTGAGAGAGAGAGAGAGAGAGAGAGAGAGAGAGAGAGAGAGAGAGAGAGAGAGAGAGAGAGAGAGAGAGAGAGAGAACTGGGACCAAAGGAACATATATTCCCTTGGTGAATGGCGGAACGCAGAGGGCAGCTAATGCAGGCACTAGGCTAACACTTCTCTCTCGCTCTCTCCGCCGAAAAAAAAAAAAACAAACAAACAAACAAAACAAAACAACAACGAGATGATACGAAACCAAAGGAACACAAAGAGAACCAACGAGACCAATGGGACGTACCAACGCAATTGCCAGATACCATCACGAAGCCCGTCTTGCAAACACAATATGCAACGCCTCGAGTGTCCTTGTTGCAAGTAGCATTAGGACCACAGTTCTTGACTATGCATGTATCTGCATGAAAGGTTGGAAATTTTAGGAAATTGACAACATCACAGAGGGAGACTAAAAAAAAAAAACAGTATGGATCAGAAAAGAGTTGAGAGACAAAACAATGCCCAATACCAAAGAGACAAACAAGGAGGGAGAGAGAGGGGAAGAGGAAGGGAAATCAAGGGAGGGAGAGAGAGGTGGAAAGCGAGAGGTGGAAAGCGAGAGGGGGAGAGAGAGGTGGAAAGCAATAGGGAGAGAGAGAGGTGGAAAGCGAGAGGGGGAGAGAGAGGTGGAAAGCGAGAGGGGGAGAGAGAGGGAAACCGAGAGATGGGGAGAGAGAGGGAAACCGAGAGATGGGGAGAGAGAGGGAAAGCGAGAGAGGGGGAGAGAGAGGGAAATCGAGAGAGGGGGAGAGAGAGGGAAATCGAGAGAGGGGGAGAGAGGGAAAGCGAGAGAGGCGGCGATAGAGGGTAAGCGAGAGAGAAACAGATAGAGAGTGAGTGAGACAGATGGACAAAAGGGAAAAAAGAGAGAAGAGGGGAACAAAGAGAGAGGGAGACGGAGGGAATGAGAGAGATGGAGACAGAGGGAATGAGAGAGACGGAGAGAGTGGGAATGAGAGAGACGGAGAGAGAGGGAATGAGAGAGACGGAGAGAGAGGGAATGAGAGAGACGGAGAGAGAGGGAATGAGAGAGACGGAGAGAGAGGGAATGAGAGAGACGGAGAGAGAGGGAATGAGAGAGACGGAGAGAGAGGGAATGAGAGAGACGGAGAGAGCGGAAAGAAAGGGCTAGGGAAGGAAAGGAGTGAGAGAGCTGGACCAGCAGTAAAGGGACAGAGAGCTAGCAAGACGAGAGATTAGATCGCTAATGAGGAGAAACGATGCGTACCAGTGCAAGTGCCTTGCACCATCAGGAAGCCCGTTTTGCAAACACAGGATGGAACGCCTTCAACGTCCTTCACACAATCAGCATTGGCATCACAGCTCTTGATGACGCAGGTATCTGAAAGGAGGCATAGAGAAGGGATTAGAAGAGCATGGCGAAAGCAAAACAAACGATGGGATGGGAGAGGATGAAGGGAGGGATGGAGGAAGGGAGGAAAGGAGGGATGAAGTGGAGCGAGGAGAGGATGGAGGGAGAGAGCAAAGGTGTGGGAGATGAGTGTGTGTGAATAGAGGGCTAGCGACAGCGAATGGCAAACATTAACACAGTTGATAAAAAGAATTATGCTTACCAGTGCAAGTGCCTTCCACCATATGGAAGCCCGTTTTGCAAACACAGGATGCAGCGCCTTGAACGTCCTTCACACAATCAGCATTGGCATCACAGCTCTTGATGACGCAGGTATCTGAAAGGAGGCATGGAGAGAAGGGGATAGAAGAGCATGGCATGTAAGAAACAAAAATGAGGATGGGAGGGGAGGGAGCAGAGAGGATGGGGGGAGGAAGGGAGGGAAGAAAAGGAGGCAGGGAAGGCCTGTGGGTGAGAGCCAAAGAGTGGGAGATGAGTGTTTTTGAATAGAGGGCTAGCGACAGCGAATGGAAAACCGATACACAGTTAATCAAATAAATTGTGCTTACCAGTGCAAGTACCTTCCACCATCTGGAAGCCCGTTTTGCAAACGCAGGATGCAACGCCTTCAACGTCCTTCACACAATTAGCATTGGCATCACAGCTCTTGATGACGCAGGTATCTGAAAGAAGGCATGGAGAGAAGGGATTCCAAGAGCATGGCACAAAAGAAACACATATGGGGATTGGAGGGGAGAGGATGGAAGGAGGGATAGAGGGAGGGAGGAAAGGAGGGAGGGAGGAAAGGATGGGGAGAGAGACCGAAGGAGTGGGAGATGAGTGTGTGTTGATGAAGGGCTAGCGAGAGCAAATGGAAAACGGTTACAGAGGTAATTAAATAGATGGTGCTTACCGGTGCAAGTGCCTTCCACCATCTGGAAGCCCGTTTTGCAAACACAGGATACAACGCCTTCAACGTACTTCACACAATCAGCATTGGCATCACAGCTCTTGATGACGCAGGTATCTGAAAGAAGGAAAGGAGAGAAGGGATAAGAAGAGCACGGCACAAAAAAGAAAAAGAAAAAAAAACACACACAAAAAAACAAAAAACAAAAAACACAACAATTGGGAGGGGTTGGAGGGAGGGAAGAAATGGAGCAAGGGGAGGATGGAGGGAGAGAGCAAATGTGTGGGAGATGAGTGTGTGCAAAATAGGGGCTAGAGAGAGCAAATGGAACATGGTTACACAATGGATAAAAAGGATGGCGCTTACCAGTGCAAGTGCCTTCCACCATCTGGAAGCCCGTTTTGCAAACACAGGATGCAACGCCTTCAACGTCCTTCACACAATCAGCATTGGCATCACAGCTTTTGATGACGCAGGTATCTGAAAGAAGGCATGGAGAGAAGGGATAGCATGGCACGAATGAAACACAAACCAGGATTGGAGGGGAGAGAATGGGAGGGATAGGGGGAGGGAGGAAAAAAAGGAAGGGAGGAAAGGATGGAGGGAGAGACCGAAGGTGTGCGAGATGAGTGTGAGATAATGAAGGGCTAGTGAGAGCAAATGGAAAACGGTTACACAGGTAATCTAATAGATGGTGCTTACCAGTGCAAGTACCTTCCACCATGTGAAAGCCCGTTTTGCAAACACAGGATGCAACGCCTTCAACGTCCTTCACACAATTAGCATTGGCATCACAGCTCTTGATGACGCAGGTATCTGAAAGAGGCATGGAGAGAAGGGATTAGAAGAGAAAGGCACGAATTGAAACAAATGAGGATGGGAGGGGAGAGGATCAAGGGAGGGATGAAGGGAGGGAGGTAAGGAGGGAGGGAAGAAAAGTAGTCAAGGAAGGGCGGATGGAGAGAGCAAAAGGGTGGGAGATGAGTGCGTGTGAATGGAGGGCTAGCGAAAACGAATGAAAAACGGTTACACAGCTAATCATAAAAATGGTGCTTACCAGTGCAAGTGCCTTCCACCATCTGGAAGCCCGTTTTGCAAACACAGGATGCAACGCCTTCAACGCCCTTCACACAATCAGCATTGGCATCACAGCTCTTGATGACGCAGGTATCTGAAAGAAGGCATGGAGAAAAGGGATTAAAAGAGAATTGAGGTTGGGAAGCAGGGAGGGAAGAAAAAAGGCACTGTAAAAGGAGCAAAGAAAGGATGGAGGAAGAGAGCGAAGGAGTGGGAGAAAAGAGTGTGTGAATGGAGGGCTAGCGAGAGCGAATGGAGAACGATAACATTGTTAATCGAAAAAGATGATGCTTACCAGTGCAAGTGCCCTCCACCATCTGGAAGCCCGTTTTGCAAACACAGGATGCAACGCCTTCAACGTCCTTCACACAATTAGCATTGGCATCACAGCTCTTGATGACGCACGTATCTGAAAGAAGGCATAGAGAGAAGGGATTAGAAGAGTATGGCACCAAAGAAAAACAAATGAGGATGGGAGGGAAGACGATGAAGGGAGCAATGGAGGGAGAGAGGAAAGGAGGGAGGGAAGAAAAGGAGCGAGGGAAGGATGGAGGGAGAGACCGAAGGAGTGGGAGATGCGTGTGTGTTAATGAAGGGCTGGCGAGAGCAAATGGAAAACGGTTACAGAGGTAATTAAATAGGTGGTGCTTACCAGTGCAAGTGCCTTCCACCATCTGGAAGCCCGTTTTGCAAACACAGGATGCAACACCTTCAACGTCCTTCACACAATCAGCATTGGCATCACAGCTTTTGATGACGCAGGTATCTGAAAGAAGGCATGGAGAAAAGGGATTAAAAGAGAATTGAGGTTGGGAAGCAGGGAGGGAAGAAAAAAGGCACTGAATAAAAGGAGCAAAGAAAGGATGGAGGAAGAGAGCGAAGGAGTGGGAGAAAAGAGTGTGTGAATGGAGGGCTAGCGAGAGCGAATGGAGAACGATAACATTGTTAATCGAAAAAGATGATGCTTACCAGTGCAAGTGCCCTCCACCATCTGGAAGCCCGTTTTGCAAACACAGGATGCAACGCCTTCAACGTCCTTCACACAATTAGCATTGGCATCACAGCTCTTGATGACGCACGTATCTGAAAGAAGGCATAGAGAGAAGGGATTAGAAGAGTATGACACCAAAGAAAACCAAATGAGGATGGGAGGGAAGACGATGAAGGGAGCAATGGAGGGAGAGAGGAAAGGAGGGAGGGAGGAAAAGGAGCGAGGGAAGGATGGAGGGAGAGACCGAAGGAGTGGGAGATGCGTGTGTGTTAATGAAGGGCTGGCGAGAGCAAATGGAAAACGGTTACAGAGGTAATTAAATAGGTGGTGCTTACCAGTGCAAGTGCCTTCCACCATCTGGAAGCCCGTTTTGCAAACACAGGATGCAACACCTTCAACGTCCTTCACACAATCAGCATTGGCATCACAGCTTTTGATGACGCAGGTATCTGAAAGAAGGCATGGAGAAAAGGGATTAAAAGAGAATTGAGGTTGGGAAGCAGGGAGGGAAGAAAAAAGGCACTGAATAAAAGGAGCAAAGAGCAAGGATGGAGGAAGAGAGCGAAGGAGTGGGAGAAAAGAGTGTGTGAATGGAGGGCTAGCGAGAGCGAATGGAGAACGATAACATTGTTAATCGAAAAAGATGATGCTTACCAGTGCAAGTGCCTTCCACCATCTGGAAGCCCGTTTTGCAAACACAGGATGCAACGCCTTCAACGTCCTTCACACAATTAGCATTGGCATCACAGCTCTTGATGACGCACGTATTGAAAGAAGGCATAGAGAGAAGGGATTAGAAGAGTATGGCACCAAAGAAAACCAAATGAGGATGGGAGGGAAGACGATGAAGGGAGCAATGGAGGGAGAGAGGAAAGGAGGGAGGGAAGAAAAGGAGCGAGGGAAGGATGGAGGGAGAGACCGAAGGAGTGGGAGATGCGTGTGTGTTAATGAAGGGCTGGCGAGAGCAAATGGAAAACGGTTACAGAGGTAATTAAATAGGTGGTGCTTACCAGTGCAAGTGCCTTCCACCATCTGGGGCCATGGCTGCACAGGAGCTTCGCTGACTGACCTACCTGCTGACCGACTTGGGGGAGCGGCCTCGTTCTCCTCCAGTTCTGTACGTCGACAACAAGGCCATGCTGGCCTTGTGTCGCGAGCAGAGACTGGAGCACAGAACGAAGCACATTGCTCTTCGCTACTTCCTTGCACGTGAGCTGCAGCAGCGTCGTCAGCTGCGCCTCTCCTACGTGGCCTCTCGGGCCAACACTGCTGACGTCTTCACCAAGGCCCTTGGGTCTGGTGATCATCAGCGTTTCTGTACTGCTCTTGGGCTTGTGCCCTCTCTGCCTCACCTGCTGGTTGCTTGACTTGCACTTGTTGTACACTAATATATATCTTTATACCTGCTTGTTTACTCTTGCTAGGTTGTAATCAGTGTACTGCCTTGCTATTATAACTCCCTCGCACCTACCACTCCCCATTCACTCACCACGCCCTGACAGCCAATGGCTTGCGCTCTGACGTGGCATAGATGGTGAACGTGGACCAATCAAATCGCCACCTCAGGTTCGGCCATGACACAGCTGGCAGCTTCGGCGTGCAGCTCCAAGGAAGCATCTTACGCTCGGGATTTCCCGATCCTCCTTCTCCTCCACCTCCTTGAGAGAACAAGCCTGTACCCTCTACTGAAGCGGCTCTTAAAGAGGATGAAGATGAGGAGGAGGAAGAGGAAGAAGTGGAGGAGGTGTTGGGTCGAGTCCAGGTGAGGGAAGGGCGGGAGGAGGCGGGGAGAGAGGCACAGGAGGAATCGACTTCGAGGATAGAGGAGAAGGAGATACTTGCGTCGTATGCCTGATGGTTGGGGGAAGGTGAGAGGGAGGGAGGAGGGAGAGTAAGGGAAAGAGGAGGTGGGGAGGAGGAAGGCGGTGAAAGAGGCGCAGGAGAGAGGAGAAAAAGGACAGACATGCGTTGCAGGCCTGATGAGTGGGGGAATCGGGGGAGAGGGAGGAAAAAGAGGGAGAGGAGGTGGGGACGAGGAATTGGAGAGAGCAGGTCACGGGAGGGCAGGTCACGGGAGGGCAGTGGGCGAGTGAAACCCAACAAGAAGAAATGAAGAGAAGCACCAGGGCTTATTGAAAGGAGAAAATGGCTTACAGGCATGGCGCATGGTTCTGGATAGGATTTAGGGTGCCAACACACTTTTTTAACAACCATGCGGAAGAGCATAGGCTCCCCAAATAGCGAGAGGGCACGACGGCAAAGGAAGGGTGGAGAAGAGGGGGTGGAGAAGCGAGGGTGGAGAGGCGAGGGTGGAGAGGCGAGGGCGCGGCGGGAGGGCAGCACTTACCCAGAAGGAGTTTTGGATGACCATGTGGTAGAGGTTGGGCACTATCTTGAGCTGCGTGGGCTGTGGCATGTCCTTCAGGAAATAGTAGCTGCAAGGTTGGGGAAGGTAGACAGGAAGGGAGAGAGGGAGAGGGGGCATACAAGGGGAAAGGAGAAGTGACAGGAACGAATGAGGATAAAGATCCGTGGTCTTCCAATCGAGTCGCAGGTCTCTGCAGCAATCTACGGACCGTTCTAATCTTGCATCTCTGCCCTAAGGTGTGCTCCCCAGGAACACACTAGCTGGCTGCTACATCATCTACCCGCTTCTACCATGGCAAACTCATGCAAGACCAAGTCCCTCAATCACTGCTTGCCATTCCCTGCATGATTCTTTAGGTGCCTCGAGGATCCACAGTGGTGGTGCGTCCAATTGGGGTCAGTTAAATGCACTGTAGTGCCCTTGACCCACAGCGAGCGTGAAAGACAGTCCAATAGATGGGGTTTACCCCGTCCATTCGTGCCTGACAGGTGTTCGTCATGGTGCTCAAGCCTACCTGACACTGACAGTAACCCGAGTAGGGGTCAAGCTTGGACCAAGCTAGTCGGCAATGTGATTATTACAACAGATCTCAAGTGTTGTTAATGAGGGTGAACTCTACACCTCCTACTGTAGCATATTATGTATGTTGTTTGTATAAAAGCATTCCAGCAGAGCTCACGAGTCATCGATGAGGAAGAACTCGTCGTTGGAGGCGGAGATGAGCAGCTTGGGCATGTCCATGCGGTCGATGAGCGTGTATGGGTCGATGGCTTCCTGCATGTGGTGGGTGAGGCGAGGAGGATCAGACATGGCATGAGGTCAGAAAGTGAGTGAGTTGAGATCCGTGACACGCACGCACGTACATTAGGCCATGGCGTGACACGCACGCACGTACATTAGGCCATGGACACAACTGAAACTGAAACCATGGCGTGAAAGCAAGGTGGGGAAGCAAGAGGGAGAATCGTGTATGTATATATGCCATATGAGACATACAGTCGCATGTTAGCAGCTTACAGCTAGCTTCCTGTACTCCTTGGAGTGCAGTGCAGGAGCTGGGAGATGTTGAACTTGAGCAGAATGGGCCAGCCTTATGGGCCAGCCTTATGGGCCAGCCTCTTTTCTTGAGGCGCGCAAGATTCGAATCAAGACTGCAGTGCAGCTTACCGCCATCTTGCGGTAGTGGTGGGAGTGGAGGCGCTGGCTGATGTTGTACTCGGAGTTGAACTTGAGCAGAATGGGCCAGCCGCCCAGCGAGTCGTGCATGTGCTGCAGATTGGGCACCACGTTGAGCACATCGTAGCCGTACGTTATGAACGCCACCACTCGCTGCATGGGGGGAGGGGGGTGGTGGTGAAAGTAAGTGCAACTACTCTGAGGGAAGGGGTGTGCATGTGCTGCAGGTTGGGCACCGCATTGAGCACATCGTAGCCATACGTTATGAATGCCACCACTCGCTGCATGGGACGCGGGGATGTAGGGGGTTGGGGGGGGAGGGAGGAGGATGGGGGAAGGGTAGGGAAGGGGAGTGGATGTGGTTCTGTAGATTGGGCACCACGTTGGGAAGGTCACAGCCGTACCATACATCATAAAGGCAGGGTGTTTATGAAATTTCTCAAAAACACCCTGCAACATCTTGGGCACCACATTGAGCAGGTCACAGCCGTACCATACATCATAAAGGCCACCACCACTCGCTGCATGAGATGAGGAAATGGGGGTGGAGGGATGGGAGGGAGGGGAGGAGGAAGGGGCATGAGTGTGGTGCAGAGGAAATTGGGCGGGCACCACGTTAAGGCGATCGTAGCCGTTCGTTATTAAGGGGAAAACTCGCTGAGAGAAAGTGCGGGGCGGAAGTGGGACGAGAAGTGGAAGGAAGTAGAAGGGGAGGATGGGTTGGGGGAGGAGGGAGGGAAGGGGTGTGAATGTGCTGTAGATTGGGCACCACGTTGAGCAGATAACAGCCGTACGTTATGAAGGCCACCACTCGCTGCATGAGATGAGGTGGGGGGGGGAGGGTGGAGGGAGGGACGCGTGGGAGGGGAGGAGGAAGGGGCATGAGTGTGGTGCAAATGGAGCAGCACGTTGAGCAGATAGAAGGCGTACGTTATGAAGGCCACCACTCGCTGGTGGGGGCGATGGGCAGTCGGAGGGGATTGAGGGGATGGGAGGGAAGGGGAATTCAATGTGCAACAGGTTGGGAGCTATGTTGAGCAGGCTGCAGCCGTGCGTCATCATCACCACCTAGCGCCGTGTGATGTGAATGCCATCCTGCACACACCCCGCTGAAGGAGATGAGCGGATGGGGGTGGGGGGGGTGTGGAAGGGGGTTGGGAAGAGGGGAAGGGAAGCGGCATGGATGCATGGCTTGCAGATTGGGCACGACGTTGAGCAGGTCGTGGCTGTATCGTACCGTACTGCACCATACCACACTGTACGGTGCTGCACCACACCCTGTCACACTCGACCGCACTGAACCGCACCTTGCCACACTGTACCGCGTCTTGCCACACTGTACCGCACCTTGTCTAAAGCTGCGGCGAAGTAGGACATGCCTGCTCGCTTGCTCACTCCGATGGAAACAAACCCCTCCACCTGCGAGCCAGCAACAGCAACAGCAACAGCAACAGAAGAATGAGGTGCCAAGGGCTGGGGAATGATTGGCAAGAATAGGCAATGATTGTGAGGAATGGGAGTGGGCAGGTGGACAACACCTTCTGACTTTTGAGTCGACTCAAACGTCAACTTGGTGCACATCAGCTGAGTGGTGCAATTTCTGAACGAAACATGGCCCATCAGCCATGCAGAGTCGTGGCTCACAGCACCCATGCAGAGTCGTGGCAAAGTCCCTATAGAGTGCAAGCATTGCCATGTGCACATGTGGAGAAACCGAATCTAGTAGCACTCACCAGCACATGGGCAGCAGCAGCAGCAGCAGCACTCAGCACGCCATCCTTACCTGATGCGCACACTATCTCACCAGCACGTGCGGCAGCGAATCGAAGGCACAGATGATGGACTTGGCCATGGGCAGGCAGGGGGGTGAAGTGAGAGGGCCTTACACCCACTGATGCAACTTGCAGCATGCAAGGTGGTGAGAGAGATGCGAGGTAGTGGTTCAGGTACTGGCACACGTACGTGTGGAGACATCGACTCACGGGCACGTGGGGCAGCAGGTCCCTGACAGCGATCTGGGTGGCATCGAGGGCGCGGATGATAGACTTGGCCATGGGCAGGGGAAGGGGGTGAAGGGGGTTTACACCATCCATGCAACTTGCAACTTGCAACTCACAAAACGTGGGGCAGCAGCTCTCTAACAGCGAGCTGCGTGGCATCGAGGGCGCGGATGATGGACTTGGCCATGGGCAGAGGGGTGAGCCACTCCCACTCGTCTGGATGGTCCAGGAACATGGCGATGGTGTCTGCATGTGGGTGGGGTACATTGCGATGTGGATGGGTGGAGATGGAAAGACTGCCCTATTCCTGAACCCAGATGACCATGCTGACATACCATGCTGCCATACCATGCTGCCATACCATGCTGCCATACCATGCTGACCATACCATGCTGCCATACCATGCTGACCATACTGCTGACCATGCTGACCATGCCATGCCACTCGTTCATCTCGCACTCGTTCATCTCGCACTCGTTCATCTCGCACTCGTTCATCTCGCACTCGTTCATCTCGCACTCGTTCATCTCGCACTCGTTCATCTCGCACTCGTTCATCTCGCACTCGTTCATCTCGCACTCGTTCATCTCGCACTCGTTCATCTCGCACTCGTTCATCTCGCACTCGTTCATCTCGCACTTCGTTCATCTCGCACTCTTTCATCTCGCACTCGTTCATCTCGCACTCGTTCATCTCGCACTCGTTCATCTCGCCCTCGTTCATCTCGCACTCGTTCATCTCGCACTCGTTCATCTCGCACTCGTTCATCTCGCACTCGTTCATCTCGCACTCGTTCATCTCGCACTCGTTCATCTCGCACTCGTTCATCTCGCACTCGTTCATCTCGCACCTCGTCATCTCGCACTCGTGTCATCTCGCACTCGTTCATCTCGCACTCGTTCATCTCGCACTCGTTCATCTCGCACTCGTGTCATCTCGCACTCGTTCATCTCGCACTCGTTCATCTCGCACTCGTTCATCTCGCACTCGTTCATCTCGCACTCGTTCATCTCGCACTCGTCATCTCGCACTCGTTCATCTCGCACTCGTTCATCTCGCACTCGTTCATCTCGCACTCGTTCATCTCGCACTCGTTCATTCTCGCACTCGTTCATCTCGCCACTCGTTCATCTCGCACTCGTTCATCTCGCACTCGTTCATCTCGCACTCGTTCATCTCGCACTCGTTCATCTCGCACTCGTTCATCTCGCACTCGTTCATCTCGCACTCGTTCATCTCGCACTCGTTCATCTCGCACTCGTTCATCTCGCACTCGTTCATCTCGCACATCGTTCATCTCGCACTCGTTCATCTCGCACTCGTTCATCTCGCACTCGTTCATCTCGCACTCGTTCATCTCGCACTCGTTCATCTCGCACTCGTTCATCTCGCACTCGTTCATCTCGCACTCGTTCATCTCGCACTCGTTCATCTCGCACTCGTTCATCTCGCACGTCGTTCATCTCGCACTCGTTCATCTCGCACTCGTTCATCTCGCACTCGTTCATCTCGCACTCGTTCATCTCGCACTCGTTCATCTCGCACTCGTTCATCTCGCACTCGTTCATCTCGCACTCGTTCATCTCGCACTCGTTCATCTCGCACTCGTTCATCTCGCACTCGTTCATCTCGCACTCGTTCATCTCGCACTCGTTCATCTCGCACTTCATCTCGCACTCGTCATCTCGCACTCGTTCATCTCGCACTCGTTCATCTTGCACTCGTTCATCTTGCACTCGTTCATCTCGCACTCGTTCATCTTGCACTCGTTCATCTCGCACTCGTTCATCTTGCACTCACGGGCGGTGATTTCCTCTTCAATCAGATCAGCCCGCGGGCCTATGCCAGGGGGACCCACTTTGAAGCTGATAGGCATCATGGGCACCTGCTGTAGCATCATTTCCAGGATGCCCAGATCCACCACCATGCTGCATGCACGTTGCATGGGAGGGAAAGGATAACGGAGACCGAGGGGAGGGGAGAAGGGGAGAGGAGAAGTGGAAGCTGAGAGCTGCTGTAGACGTGAGACGTGTAGAGCTGGTGGGCATCATGGGCACCTGCTGTAGCATCATTCCCAGAATGCCAAGACCTAGCACCATGCTGCACGTTGCATGGGAGGGAGGGTTACACGTGGGGGGAGGGAGGGAGGCAGGACGAAGGAGGTAGAAGCTGATCTGATGGTAGCACACAGACGGCGGGGGTGGCAGGCAGACAGAGCGGGTGGAACATACAGACACTGGGGGAGGCACAGACAAAGTGGACAGCACACACAGAGAAGCCTGCACAGACAGAGGGGGTGGCACAGACAGAGTGGGTGGCACAGAGAGAGGGGAAAATTGGCTGACGGACTGATGGGGCACGCATAAGGGGTATCACAGCACACGCCTAGGAAGAATCGCCAGAGCGAGTTGCAATAGTGAGTCGGCACGTGGTGAGAGAGAGCACAAGCAGTGGATGTGTGGGGGCAGTGGGCGGGCAGTGGGTGGGCAGTGGGCGGGCAGTGGAGGGCAGTGGGCGGGCAGTGGGAGGGCAGTGGGCGGGCAGTGGAGGGCAGTGGGCGGGCAGTGGGAGGGCAGTGGGCGGGCAGTGGAGGGCAGTGGGCGGGCAGTGGGCGGGCAGTGGAGGGCAGTGGAGGGCAGTGGAGGGCACGTACGGAGCAGCGAGGCGGATGAAGATCTCGTCGCTCCCCGGGATGTGCACCTGGTTGACGGGGTTCAGCCCCGCCCCCACGAAGAACAGCACCAACCCCTTGTGCGCATTGTGCATCCTGTCCGGCGCCTGGTGTGGTGGGGGGGAATGATGGGGGGAGGGGGATGGGGGAGGAATGGAGGCATGCAGTGAGGCGCCAGAAAGCATGGCTGAATGAAGGAGAGCAGCAGCCATTAGTGCGCGCTGCGCAACGGGGTGGCTCAAAACATGGCATGGTGGTGGGTGGAGGGTAGCAACCCAGAACAACAGCACCATGATATACCATACCACACACAACATGCGCACCATACCGCACACAACATGCGCACCATACCGCACACATACACACCATGAGAATGAGCCAGTGCCACCACTTGTATCGGTTGGTGTCGGTGCGGTTGAGTCACTGGTGTGTGTGTGTGTGTACACCTTGAGCACATACTTCGTCCACCACCCCTAGCCCCCTCCTTTTGAGGCGCCCCAAAAGACACCACGTGCGCACCATGCCGCACACACACACACACCATGCCGCACACACACACACACACCATGCCGCACACACACACACACACCGTGCCGCACACACACACACACACCATGCCGCACATACACACACACACACCATGCCGCACACACACACACACACCATGCCGCACACACACACACACCATGCCGCACACACACACACACCATGCCGCACACACACACCACATGCCGCACACACACACACCATGCCGCACACACACACACCATGCCGCACACACACACACACCATGCCGCACACACACACACCATGCCGCACACACACACACACCATGCCGCACACACACACACCATGCCGCACACACACACACACCATGCCGCACACACACACACACACCGTGCCGCACACACACACACACCATGCCGCACACACACACACACACACCATGCCGCACACACACACACACACCATGCCGCACACACACACACCATGCCGCACACACACACACACCATGCCGCACACACACGCACGCACCATGAGAATGAGCCAGTGCCACCACTTGTAACGGTTGGTAATGGTGCGGTTGAGCCACTGGTGTGTGTACACCTTGAGCACGTACCCCGTCCACCACCCCCCGCCCTCCTTGGATCGCATGCGATTGCCCGTGTCCTCCCACCTGCCAGCGACAGGGCAGAATGTAGAGACTCAAATGTAATTAGTCCGTACTGTGTCCTCCCACCTGCCAGCTGCAGCGCAGAAAAGACACGGGTAGCTTTTAGGTAATAGCTACTTGAAGCAGGTAGAGAAAAGACTAGAGGCTCGCATGATGCATGCAGCTACGGTATACCCGGGTGCTCTGTCCTGCAGGCTGCAAGCAGCAGGCAGACAGAGAATGACGAAAATTGGCCAGGATCGGTCGGTGAGTGTAACAGTGCTGTCGAGTCGAGTCACCCGCCAGGCTCCTCCTTAGCTTGGCTCGGCGACCGCGTTTGTAAACTCACCTCCATTCTGTATTGCATCCGCGGTATAGACACAACTATCCAGCAGTGCACCTAGTTATAATGGCACAGGTTAGAGACGAGCGACGACGCTCTCATGCAGGCAATGGAAGGGCCTTAATAACTGCGGTGTGTCGTGTCCATCAGGCTCTATTCTACCTATCCTGCTGCGGAAAAAGGGGCAATTCAGGCGACTGTATGGTATCAGCGGAGAACAGGCAGGGCAAGCTTGGTCGGAGCTCGAAAGACGCTACGTCAGCGACGGTCAGCGCGACGGCGAGAGGTAGAAGGCGACGAGTGAGAGCCGCCTAGCGGCGCCTGACGACGATTACAGGTCTCGACGCGTACGTGCGCGATATTGCAAACACACGACCGTGCAGGGGACGCGTGTGTCGAGTAAACTACTCTCGAGCAGTCCCTTCATTGATAGGTTTTCAGTCATTTGCACGAGAGGCTCCTTCTCTAGAAGAAGCTACGGCGTTGACGGATGCAATTGACGGTGCTCATGAGTCCACGTAGGTCAATGTGAGTCAATGCAGGTCGATGTAACTTGTGAATGCTCACCTGAATTCCGGATCCGCGGTATATACATATCGGTCCATGACTGTGCCATGGCAATTCCTAGCAGTTTCGCACCCGCTCTGAGGGAATGCGGACGGATGAAAGCTCGCGGGTTTTCCGGTAAAAAGGCTACCAGATCGGAGCAATAAGAAGGACTCAAATAGGCGACGACGAGGAAAACGATTAAGACTAGAACCCGGCTGATCGTAACATGAGACTTAAAGATGACTTGAAGAGTTCTGGCCAATCGATTAGTCCCGGAGGCATGGAATCGCGTCATTATGAGCGAGGTGCTTATACAACATAGACAACTCAAGTTCCTGAGTCATATCAAGACGCTGGTGACGAGGACGAGCGCATGCAAAACGGACATCGCAAATTCTGAAACGCGAAAAACGGCTTCACGACTCATTTTCTGTAACGTTTTGCTTTGCGCATGGGATGTGCGGGGATAGCTCAGTTGGGAGAGCGTCAGACTGAAGATCTGAAGGTCGCGTGTTCGATCCACGCTCACCGCAAAGTACAACCTCTTTTGTCTCCTGAATTGGTCTTAGGGTTGAATACCCCTCAGAAATTGTTGAGCTAGGGTGTTTGGAACCCTTCACAAGTTTGTGTAAGGGTTGAGATTTCAACCATGATGATGTGGAATGATCTAAGTCGAATATAGCCTTATCTCAGCGAGCATGACATCGGCTAAGGGTGCACACTAAGTTGCAAAGATATTGGATTCAATTTATGATGACGTGGAAAGATCGGAGCTTTCAATAGCGTTGCGTCACGAAGTTTGACACTGGCCAAGAACGTAATTTTAAAAGTACGTTACACAATCTACGCGCATAAAAGTATGAAATTATGGTATTGTAAACTTAAAAGTACGGTACACCTTCTACATCCTTGTAAGGAAAATTCATTCTCCTTACTTCGCGCCCCTCCTTACCGCGTACAAGACCATTCCCGCCATCGGCACCCAACAGTGAAACGTTACCCGCTCGCGACACTCGCCTCGACTACGACTCCCGCCACCGTTCACGATGCGACCCAACCTCACGGTTCGGTTGGTTACCCGCGCTCCGGACCTCCGCCTCGACATTTCCCAACCTTGGCGCTAGGCCCGTAGCGCACCCCATTTTCTCGCGTTACCGTTACCACCCTAGTTCGCTATATATTTTTCGCGCATGCCTTCGCTCATTGTATTGTTTTGCCTCGATTGTGCAATTCTCGCTCGCTTGCTCAATTGCAATCGTAACACTTGGTATTCAGAACCTACGATCTCCTCTCGGACCGCACCCACACCTTCGCTTCCCCACTATCTCGATTTTCGGGGGGGGTGGACGTCTCTCAGCGAACAAGCACCGCCGCTCGAAGTGCTCTTTCGTAAGCACGCACGGCCACGACAGAGGCTCTCGCTGAGCTTGCCCGACACCCCTGCAATGGCCGAAATTAATATCGCGACATTGACACAGGAGCAGCTCGACCGTCTCGTGCGCCAACTCTAAGATTCGGCGCTCAAAATCGCGACACTCACGGCGGAACGTGACTCCGCCCGCCAGCAATCAACGGTGAATGCACCAGCACCTGCAAATGCACCTGCGCAATCGGATGAGCCGATTGTCATCTCGTCCGGCACACCGTCACATCACGACAGCGTGGGACAGCGCTCAGGCGCAGCCAGTGATGGCGCCGCCCTATCAATGCTTGGCATGGGGAGGAACAGGGCTGTACCAAGCACGAGCGGGCCTCGCGAAGCCCATCGTCACGTTGGATTTGCAGCAACAATCGGCAACAACGACATTGTCGCGCCGATGCCGCTCAAACCGCAGCGCCCGCCCTGCTTCGACCCGAGCCAACGAGGAGGTCCGACGGTTCAATCGTGGGTCTTCACGATGAACGTTATTTTCGACGCGAATTACGTCGAGTCGGACGCAGCAAAGATTCGATATGCTGTTTCGCTGCTAAGGGGCCCCGCCATGGACTGGTGGCGAGTCATCGTGATGTCGCCGCGCGCCTACGAGCCGCCGTCGCAAGAGGAAGAGCCCACGGGTCCAGCCGTCACCTGGAGTTCGTTCTGCGAAACCGCCAAGTACAGCACGTGGGATGCGTGGTGCGTAGGGCTTCGGGCGCGCTTCGAGCCGATCGCGGCTTCTATTTCGGCGCGTCAGAAACTGCGTACTTGACGACAGCTTGGGTCGGTCCAAGACAACACCAGCGGTTTTCTCGCATTATGCGAGCAAGTCGGCTACATGGACGAAGCGGAGCGGGTGGACCGTTACGTCGGAGGGCTGAAGCCGGACATCTCGCACGAAATCATGCTACGCGGGCTCTCGAATTTCAACGAGATCCTCTCGCTCGCCGAGAAATTTGACATCTTGCGCCGTCCGAGACCGGGGTCCTACTACAGGCATCGCCCTCGGGGACCGACCGAGCACACCGACCGTACACGCCGTTGCGGCGAATGCAGCTGCTGCACCATCTAAGGGGCGCTGCTTTGCTTGCAATAGGCCGGGCCATCGCAAGAGCGAATGCCTAGAGGAGCAAAGACGTCGCGGAGCAGAGCAGGGGAGGGAGTCTCAGAGGCAGGGAAACGCCAGCAGTCAGTAAAAAACGGGCCAACTACTGACGAGACAACCTGCTCGCCCAACCTCACCGACCCTCACCGAGTCACAGTACCGATTCACGCTATCGGTCAGGCTCGGATGAATAAGGAGGATACAGCGACAGATTGCCCAGTACAGATTCACGAGAAAATACAGGGAGCAGCAGAGAGAATTTTTAAAGACGGAGGAGCAAGTCACGGCTTAATTAATATCGCAACTGCACGGAAGCTGCAACTGACACTTAGTCGGTGTTTACCGGAGGTAGATGCACGCTTAGTCGACGGCACGCCGCTGGCCTCACGGGAGAAGGTGGAGAGAGTAAAAGTCCGCTGCGGGGGGGGAACTTCGGGTTTACACAGGAAATGCTTGCGACGACACTGGATGGGCACGACATTTTACTGGGACGTGACTGGCTGCGACGGTACAACCCGCGAATCGACTGGACGACGGGTAGCTGCACTGTGCGAAGTAGCGGTAACTGGGTCGAGCTACATCGCTGGCAGTCGCCCGAGTCTTCAACGGTCCACGGCAACGCCATCACGATGAAACGGGTTGTTGCCGCTGGAGCTGACGTGTACGCGGTGGATATAGCATTGGTAGGAGAAGCAGAGCAGCCGAGTGATTTTCAGAAACTCCTGG